AATTCAAAGCCAGTACTGAAGTTTTGCTCTTCAAGATGTGGTTCTGGGACCAGCAGCCTCAGTTAGAAATGCAGACTCTCTGGCCCAATCTGGAGATAACAAAATCTGAATCAGCATTTTCACACAAGATGCCCAGGTAATTTGCATGCACACTGAGGTTTGAGACACACAGCGTTAGAGGACTTGGAATGAGCAGGTGGACAGCTAATCCCTTCCTACTGGGGATGTTTACTTGATTTCTCCACTGCAAATAAATTCACCACTGTTTCCAGCAGTACAACTTTTACTGCACTTGGAGAAAAATCAAGCTAGATTTTGAATCCCTGGTCTGCTACTTTCTAGCAAGGTACAGAACTTCTCTAAGTAACAGTTTCTTTACCTAGGGGGAGAGAGAAAAGAGAAATAAGAAAGAAAATCATTATACAAGGCTGTTAGAAGGATTAAATGGAAGAGTAATATAAGGATGCCTACAGCTGAAAATGACTTCAGACGTAGAAATGAAATATAGATTGTCAACATTTTAATGATAAAGGATGATGCTGGTTTCCCAAAGATAACACATACATTTCATAGAATTCTAACAAAAATCCCAACAGAAATCCGGGAGGCTAAGTCAGAAGGCCCTGTGAGCTCAGGGCCTCTATGAGTAATGTAGAGAAGAGACCCTGTCCAGAAGAGCCAAGGATGGTGGTGTACACCTGCGATCCCAGCTATTACAGAGTCTTAGACAGGAGTCTCACGACAGAGCAATACTCCTGTCTAAAACATACATACACACATACACACAGCCCACAGAAAAGAAAAACTCCTATACATTTTTAATTAGACCGAATACTTTAAAATTCCAAGGGCAAAATGCAACTTTAACCAAGACATGGAATGCTGATATTTTCAAAGAACAGAATATATATAAAATTCCATAGGAAAAAATTACATTAGAATATATTAAAAATATATTAAAATGCATTATTATTGTATAGCAACAGACAATGTAAGTGAAATCAACAAATAGGATAAGCCTAAATGATAAATATGAAAAATGAAATATATGTGTGCTCACTCTCGGGCTCACAGGTAGTGAAAGAGGTATCAAATAATAACAGTAAGATAACACTCTAAAGCCTTCAGATTGACAAAAACTAAGAAGTGCCATAATAAAAACAAGACAGAAACAAAGATTTGTATACATATAATGGGGTATATTGGTGCTTTTATTTCTAGGAGACAGATCCCCTGTACAAGCTTGCTGGGTCAAAGATATTAGAGCAGTGCGGGACCAGCAGTTAGCTTAATGCCTATGTCGCTGAACTCCCACGTAGTCCACCGCATTTCGAGTCCCGGACCCGGTGGCTTAAACTCACGCCAGGTACGTGCGTGCCCAATATCCCGAGAAGAGAAAGGAGAAGGGATTGCGGAGTAGCCATCCCCCTCGGGGGGTGATTTCTCGCTTCCTGTCTCTATGTCTCTCTCTGTCTTTCTGGCGAGCACACGTGCCCTATAGCAAAAACCTCTCCACAAAAAAAAAAAAAAAAGATATTAGAGCAATGCTAATCATACTAGCAGTACTAATTGTAACAATAGCAGTCGCTACTATTACTACCACAGAGATAGCAGCAATCCCTCTGCTAGTAATTTTGGATTATTTTGTTGGAAGGCAGGTGATATTGGAAAAGCGAGCAGGAGAATGAGAGAAGCCACCCAAAGAAATCAACAAATCAGAACACACACATAGAGAGGTGAGGCACAGGATAACAACAACAAAAACGTTTACATTTTCTAGGCGCACAAAGAACCCTGGAAGTGTTTAAGGAATAGTTGTTCTTAAGCAGATTTCATCTTTCAGAAAACCCATACTGTTGTTAAGCGGTTTGCAATTTTCTCTCCCACATTAGGAATCTTTCCAAAGCTTTATTCTTTATTAAGCAAGAACTTCTCTAAGTAACAGTTTCTTTACCTAGGGGGAGAGAGAAAAGAGAAATAAGAAAGAAAATCATTATACAAGGCTGTTAGAAGGATTAAATGGAAGAGTAATATAAGGATGCCTACAGCTGAAAATGACTTCAGACGTAGAAATGAAATATAGATTGTCAACATTTTAATGATAAAGGATGATGCTGGTTTCCCAAAGATAACACATACATTTCATAGAATTCTAACAAAAATCCCAACAGAAATCCGGGAGGCTAAGTCAGAAGGCCCTGTGAGCTCAGGGCCTCTATGAGTAATGTAGAGAAGAGACCCTGTCCAGAAGAGCCAAGGATGGTGGTGTACACCTGCGATCCCAGCTATTACAGAGTCTTAGACAGGAGTCTCACGACAGAGCAATACTCCTGTCTAAAACATACATACACACATACACACAGCCCACAGAAAAGAAAAACTCCTATACATTTTTAATTAGACCGAATACTTTAAAATTCCAAGGGCAAAATGCAACTTTAACCAAGACATGGAATGCTGATATTTTCAAAGAACAGAATATATATAAAATTCCATAGGAAAAAATTACATTAGAATATATTAAAAATATATTAAAATGCATTATTATTGTATAGCAACAGACAATGTAAGTGAAATCAACAAATAGGATAAGCCTAAATGATAAATATGAAAAATGAAATATATGTGTGTATACATACATATATATATACACAAACATATATATATTATATATATTATATATTATATATATATATATAATATGTATATACTCACTCTCGGGCTCACAGGTAGTGAAAGAGGTATCAAATAATAACAGTAAGATAACACTCTAAAGCCTTCAGATTGACAAAAACTAAGAAGTGCCATAATAAAAACAAGACAGAAACAAAGATTTGTATACATATAATGGGGTATATTGGTGCTTTTATTTCTAGGAGACAGATCCCCTGTACAAGCTTGCTGGGTCAAAGATATTAGAGCAGTGCGGGACCAGCAGTTAGCTTAATGCCTATGTCGCTGAACTCCCACGTAGTCCACCGCATTTCGAGTCCCGGACCCGGTGGCTTAAACTCACGCCAGGTACGTGCGTGCCCAATATCCCGAGAAGAGAAAGGAGAAGGGATTGCGGAGTAGCCATCCCCCTCGGGGGGTGATTTCTCGCTTCCTGTCTCTATGTCTCTCTCTGTCTTTCTGGCGAGCACCCGTGCCCTATAGCAAAAACCTCTCCAAAAAAAAAAAAAAAAAAGATATTAGAGCAATGCTAATCATACTAGCAGTACTAATTGTAACAATAGCAGTCGCTACTATTACTACCACAGAGATAGCAGCAATCCCTCTGCTAGTAATTTTGGATTATTTTGTTGGAAGGCAGGTGATATTGGAAAAGCGAGCAGGAGAATGAGAGAAGCCACCCAAAGAAATCAACAAATCAGAACACACACATAGAGAGGTGAGGCACAGGATAACAACAACAAAAACGTTTACATTTTCTAGGCGCACAAAGAACCCTGGAAGTGTTTAAGGAATAGTTGTTCTTAAGCAGATTTCATCTTTCAGAAAAACCATACTGTTGTTAAGCGGTTTGCAATTTTCTCTCCCACATTAGGAATCTTTCCAAAGCTTTATTCTTTATTAAGCAATGATGACAAAATCGTAGTAATTCTAGGGCTCGAACTTCAGTATGTCTGTAAGATAAAGGCACTGCCTAGGGATAAGAAAGCTGAATTGTGTTGCTGGCTCTGCAAGTACTGGACGATGTGACCTTTGACAGTCACTTAACCTGTGCCGAATTTCCTTATTTGCAAAGGAAGCAAGTTCCATCAAACCAGTTAATGATTCTACAATTAGAAGGCATCATGTTGAAAAACTAGTGAATTGGAGTGATCATTACACATTTTTTAAGAATAGATTTCATACTCTTTATATCTTGTAGCTAATCAGATAATTTAATGATCTACTTAATTTTAAGAACTAAAAACTACACTAAGATCAATTAATGACTTTACATTTCCAAATGGTGACTATAACTACACAATGCTTTAATTTTCGTGTTGAGGACAAAATGCTGCTGCCATAGATATCTTTCAAATTGCTCACTGAAGCGAGGCTTAATTTGTCACCTTAAAAGCATGACATCCACAAGAAGCAGTTCAACCAAAACTTCATCTTCTAAAGGTCACATGTATTAGCCGTAGGAAAAAAGGACAGTCTATGCCAGTCAACCAAATAAATAAATCACATATTAAAATTTCTAACAGAAATTTTTGAATAATAATTATTCATACAAAATGGCAAAAATAATAATCTGCTTAAGCATGACAACACTCTGAAGTAATACTCTAAGTTTTAATTTGTATATTTCCTAAGTTTCAAAAAACAAGTGATTATTAATAACACTTTATGAAAATTTATGCCTGGACATAAAATGTAAAACTCTTAAGGCATGAAGATTTCCATGAGCTTCTTAAATTTTATGTATTTTATTTCCTTAAATGGTTCTGGGATTTTCCAAAAGCATACACAAAGTTCCTTAAGCATTGCCAAGGTAGCAATAGTTACACAAAAACCATCTTTCAGATTATAGGAACTCTCCTGAAAAAAATCCCCGGTCTTTCTGCTAGGAGATCTGGGTGTGAATTCCTACAAATAGAACTGCTTGGACCAACCAGATTGTCAAGGCTGGGGTGGTAAAGAAACAATGTATGTATGGTTTGCACAGTTATCTGAAATCCCTGCAAAGAAGTGGTTCCCTAAGTAGTATGTCATAATTTCCTTATCTCTGAGTACAAGCACGTGTATTTATTTATATCCCTAGATTAACTTCAAGTCTAATTTTACCGCCCCTCGGATCCAAGGCTGGATTTCTTTTTTCTAATTACAAAATGCAACTTGATCTAGATCAAAGGCATTTTAAGAAGGTCAAATTTTACTTCTCTGAGAAACAGAGGGTGTGATTCCACGTAATGAATGAATGCTTAGCCATGCCCTTTGGCGCAGTATTTGGTGGCTGCAGAAAACCAGGTCCAACCATCTCCACCTGTTGGCGCAGTAGAACTTACCCAAAAGAGCAGATTGAGGGCATAGAGCAGGCAGCGCAGGCACTTCACCGAATCTTCTCTGGCCATTGTGAGCCCCGGAAGGGAGAAACCCCATCGTCTCAACACATCCTACTCCCACGGGCAAAACAGCAGCGATCTGCTGGGGTCATGGGAGAGAACAGAGGACCGACTCAGCACCTCTGCCCACTGCGCGTCCTCGACTGGCTGCAGAGGGTCCCGAAGCCTAGGTCATTCGAGATATCGCTTAATGGAAAATCATTTGTTCAAGTCATAATAGTAACTAAACTCTCCTAAGTTCCCAACCGGCTTCAGATAACACCTGCTGAGAAGAGAAAAGATCGACTCCCAGGATGAATGAAGGCGCACAGTCAACTCGCGTTCTCAGGGGACACGCGGCAGGGGCCCTCTGCATTCTGATGAGACGCTCTTTAAAACCTCCCTCTCTCCATGCCCCTCCTCGGGGACAGCCCTGCTCCGAACTGTCCTGAAGATTAGAAACTACATTGTCCCACCTCCCCCCCACCCCCGACGTCACAGGCGCCACCAGCGAGCCCGAGGACGCTAGTGCCCTTCGCGTTAGGACGCTTCCCGAGCCCCCCAACTCCGCACTATCCCAACTCCGCACCCCACCCCTCAGTGCTAGGATGTGAACGCAGACAACTGGAGGGGGCGCAGCACGGACCCTGGGATTCGGCCCGATGACTAGGGTTTCTTTGGGAGAACGTGAGAAATGATGTTTTCAGCCCCAGAATGATGGATTAGACTGGTGCGGGGGGTGGGGAGGGGGCGCCGGGGAATTAGGGCCAGTGCAGCTGTGCAGACGCTGGGTTAGTCATTCATATACTCCACCCACCCCCAAACCCGTTCCTCTGGCCGCTGCAGCGACCCGGAGCTCCAAGCTGCCCTCCGAGCACAAAGCGAGCGCGGTCACCCGCCCCGCCACCGCGTCCGCGCGCCCCCGGCAGGGCGCGGGGGGAAGCGGGAGCTCCACCGCCAGCCTTTAAGTAGTTTAGCACACTGCGTTGGCGAGCTGCTGAGACAGCGGGAGGCACGACCACTCACCGTCGCTGCTGGTCTCCTTGCCCCACTCCTGGCGGGGGACAGTTGGGAACGCACGGCGAGGTCTCATCGGGGCAGAGGCGCTCCACCCGGGGAGCCGAAGAGCTGCATTGGCTCAAGCTGCAGACGCTTCCTTCTCTTCCTCTCCCCCGGTCGCCGCCGTCGCCGCCTCCTGGGTCAAAGAAAAAAAAAAAAAAAAAGTCCTGGGCAGCAGTTGCTGGAAAGTCTCTGCTAAGCCACCTCCCAGCGCCGCTGTCCCTCCCAAGCCCTCGCCAAGTCCGGACGAGGCAGCGGCTGCAGCCAGGGCCAGCTCTACAAACTCTCAGCGCATGCTCGGGCCGCTGGCTGCCCGGGTTGGGTCCTAGTAAGTGTTATGTCCCCCTCACCGGGCGTGAGCCCCCAAAGGGACGTCCCACCTCTTAGAAGACACTGACCAGAAAGAGAGCCTAGGAACTTGGGAGAAACCCGAGCGGTAAAGCTCTTTAAAATGGTGGTGTCGGAGAAATGGGGGCTGGGTTATAACCATAGGGAAACAAGCTTTTATTATATGAAAATATTTGTGTTTGAGAAGGGGGGTGAAGGGGGACCCAACCCAATTCCTGCAGTGAGAAACTAGTTTTCACAACCTTTATGGAGCCACCTCCTGTGATTTGTCATGAACATAGTGACCTATGATCCTTAATGTCTTGTTTCCCTATTTAAAAAAAAGAAAGAAAAAAAAAAAAAAAACCTTCTTTTTCACTTCCATACTACACTAATAGCATTTATGTGAACACCAGAGTAATCATGTCAAGTCTGATATCCGGATAGGGAGCAAGGACATTTTTAACTTTCACAAGGAATACAAAATTCCCAAAATTTCTCCCAGTAAAATTTTTATTTTTTTAGTTTTAACTGGTGATTGATCTTGACACATGTACATACTAGCTGGTTTTTGGAAAACTGCTTTTGTTTTAGATTAGAAATCCATGAAGTATTACTAGAAGGCCATCCTTTCAAAAGTACTATCCCTTGTAGAAATAAAAAGTTTCATATGTAAAAATAATAATCACCGGATTATTATCTGTCCATAAAATGTTGTTTTATGCTTCACAGTAGTTCGCCTTCTTTGACTAAGTCTCTATGTGGTGTATAGCAAATAAAATTTCACCTAAAAATATGAATGATTTGAAATATAAATAACATCTTTGAGAAAAATAAATAATTGGAGTTCTCCCTAAATTTCCTTGCAGGAAAAAAGAAATCGAAGACCTGCTTATTATTACCTGTCTGGGTTCAGTTGCTGCCTGACCAGTAAGAGATATATAGTCTTATTTGGGAATAAATAATGTCAAGACCAAAGGACATGGTTGTCCTGAGTTAGGCTAGGAAAATTCTTGGGAAGCAAGGCGCTGAGCAATATGATAAACAGTAAACTCAAACGACTATAAAAAAGTATAGCCATCTTTGTAAAACACCCAGAAGGCTGTCCAGTCGTCTGTCACATGCCTACAACTCTGATCATAAAGCGACTTCCAGAACTATGGAAAAGCAAAGAAATCCATTTTTGTCTTCTATCAGGTTCTGCTCAAATGAGGGCATATGCCTTTTTTTTTTATTTGTCTGTTTTATTAGAGTTTATTCATTTATTTTCTTCCATGAGTAAGAAAGAGCTAGACAGTGAGACAGCACCCTCCAACAGGGTCTTGCTGCTAGCTTCCAGCACCAGCTTCAGCCAGCCGGAATTACGCACTTGAGTACCAAAAATACTCAGGGAGTTCTCAAGACCCAAGCACAGCAGTTTTCCCTGCGGGTGAGCCTTGCAGCATGTTGTATTTTACTGCTGTGCCACTGTCCAGCCGGAATGTATGCCTGTTTTTAAGCAGAAGGCTGCTGAAATCACTGGCCATCCAAATGCTGTTGATGCCTCTGAGAGAGAAAAAATGTCTCACGTTGACAGTCTGTGGCTGCCATTAAAACTGAGCAAGAATGCTAATAATCCCCATGTCTCCAAACAGAAATCCTCCTGTCTTTGTAGAAAGTGATGAAGTGCCTTTTCCTTCATTCATAAACCTTTAAGATTCACCTACTCTAGATTTTACAGTTTTCAAGGAAGTTACTCTAAAAATATGTATTTGATCTCTTTCTAGTAAATAAGGAATATGGTACCAGGAGAAGTGAAAAGAGTTTGCTCAGCATTCTGTGTTTTAATCAATTCGGTTTCCAAACTTGAATCTAGAATCGTGAGTCTAACTTGTACATGAATTCAGTGGTTCTCAACCTTGCTGAGCATTAAAATTGCTTGGAGAGCTTGGGAAAAGTCCTGGCACTCTGGCCATACCCCACACCCATCTCTGCAGATGCAGCCTTGGCATTCAGATTCTTCAAAGCTCCCAAGGCAATTCTGCCCCACAGCAAAGTTTGAAGGCCACTGCAGCTTCTGCTTTACAACTGCCTAACAACTAACAAAAGGGTCTTCTTAGGTTAAGCTGCATCAAATCTCTCATTCGTGAGTTGATAAATTGAGATTAATACTCCTATCTTACAAGTTAAAGGGGATAAAAGAAAAAACAGAGCTATAGTTGCTGCTATAATATTCCTGATAAAAGGTCAGCCAAGTCTGATTAGACATTTTAGTAGAAGAGACCACAACCACATTCAAGGCTAGGCAGTACTGGGCAGGTTTGATTATTTAAATGTGACTGTACCAGGGCCAGCAGGGGCCATAATGGCTGGAGCACTGGACGCCCACATGACCGACCGCAGTTCAAGTCCAAGATCCGGTGGCTTGAAACTTGCGCCGGGTGAGTGTTTGTGTATGCCCAAAATCCAGAGAGGAGAAGGGATTGTGGTATGCTCATCCCTGTGGGGTTATTTTGCACTTTCTTTCTCTCCATCTCTCTCTACCTGGTGAGCGCACCCTATACAAAAGTCTCTCAAAAAAGAAAGAAAGAAAGATTGTACCTTTCTTTAACAGCTACTCCTCAACTCTTGTTCTGCCTTTTGGAGACCAAAGCGTGAGCAAGCGTGCCCCCCCATGTGACAGCACTTCAACCGCTGGAGGGCAGCTGCTGTTCCCTCCCTCTCCAACTCTCTTCTCCAGGATCATAGACTACACTAAGACTTGACATCACAGCTGTCATTCTGCAAGCTCTATATTTTTCTCATAGAGAACTGCTTTTTTGTGTGTGCACAAAAGAAGAATGTATAAAATCACAATTAAGGGCATAACAATTTGAATATGAAGCAACATATTAGGATGATTTATTCATTACCCATGAAGCAAGAACCAAATTCTAAGGCTATGTGTGTTTCGTTAAGTAGCATTTGAGTGTGTGGTACCGGCTGTGCCTGAAGATGCTCAGAATATGACAGTCCTACCTTCCAGGAAAACACAAAACTATTATTTTCTTTTTATCTAATAATAGCAATATCAAATCATTATAATATCAGCACTTACAAGCAATTTCACATGAGGAGTCATCCAAAAAATTTCTGGAAAATGTGTGTTATGAGAAAACTATGCATATATTTCAACATTTTTTGTACTAAAGAAAACTCATACTTCAATTGCATTTTTTTCACAAAATTTTTTGATGTGCCCTCGTAAGTGTCAGCCCCTGTGTCAACCATAAAACTCAGCTATGTGGGGCCAGCGGTATGGTGGTTAAGGTGCTGGACTCCCACATGGACAACCACACTTTGAGTCTCGAATCTGCCGTCTTGCAACTGCCAGGTGCACGTGCGTGCGTGTCCCAAGTCTGAGGTGGAGAATGGAGGAGAAGGGATTGTAGCATGGTCATCCTCGCAAGGGGTGACTTCTCACTTTCCCTCTCTCTGTCTCTCTCCAGTGAGTACACACACCCTGTGGCAAAAATCTAAGAAAATAAAAGGGAAAAATGCACAAATTAGTAAAACAAATAAAACTCAGCTATATAGTAAAGTCACACAGATTCCTCACTCCACAAGTCACCTCCTTTGTCTATATTTTATTCCAGTCATTCTGTTCAAGTTGCAGAGAGGGAAGAAGGGGCCAGGTGTTGGGTTAGATGAATGCGTTTCTATTGCATATTCATATAAGACCTTTATGAGAACAGTTCTTCCAACCATTAAAGGGAAGAAGCCTTGTCTGAGCCAGTCAGATGTGCCTGACATAATAGGTACTTCTTACAATCTGTCTTTTTTTTGAGAGGTTTTCACTATAGAGAGCATGAGCTCTCTAGAAAAACAGAGAGAGACAGAGAGACAGAAAGCGAGAAATCACCCCTCAGGGGGAATGCCCACGCCACAATCCCTTCTCCTCCATTCTCCTCTCAGGATCTTGGGCATGCATGCACACGTGCCCGGAGTGAGCTTAAGCCACCAGGTCCAGGACTCGAATTGCAGTTGACTACATGGGAATCCAGCGATGTAGCCATTACACCATCTGCTGGTCCCAATCTTATTAATTTTTTATAACCACATGATGAGATATTTAGACTCAGATCATTTTTTAATGGCCACATAGGAAGTAAGTAAAGAAGCTGAGATTTTAATAAAGATCTGTCTCTTTCTTCTATTAATCTGAATTATGATAAAATTTCTAATTTAGGTGGGGATTCATTGGCAGGCCTCAAGAAGAAAAGTATTCTAGGCATTTTTTATTTGTTCTTGAGAATATGAAGCTGAATTCTAAATATTATATGCAAGCTATGATTGATAACTCTTTTGGCTTAATTTTGGAAAGAATATACCCAATAGGCCTCAAGAAAATCCTTTTGTTACCCAATTAAGTAGACTGCTCACTACTGCAAGCTTAGGGCTGCCAGATAAAATGTTAAGATGCCTAATTATATTCAAGCTTCAGATGAGCACTGCATAACTTCTTGGTGTAAACATGTCTTAAATATCGCATGAGACAAACATCACATTGGACATACATATACTAAAAATGTATTCAATGTCTTTCTGAAATCCAAATATTGTGCATATCCTATATTTTTATTTGCTGAATCTGGCTAACTATGCTAACTAGAAAGTTAAACTCCAGTGCCTAAACAATAAGTAGGTACACTGTTTCATATACTAGTGAGTCCAGAAATAGGGATTCACTCACTCAACAATGGTATCAAGGAATCATTTCCTTTTCTCCCCTACTTTTCTTTTTTCTTTCTTTCTTTTCTTTTTTCTTTTTTTTTTTTTTGGAGAGATTTTTTGCCATAGGTTGCATGCACTTGCCAGAGAGACAGAGAGTGGAAGTGAGAAGTCACCCCCTATGGGGGATGGTTACACAGCAATCCCTTCTCTTCCATGCTCTTCTTGAGATTTTGGGCACCCATGCATACACGCCCGGTGTGAGTTTCAAGCCACTGGCTTCAGAACTCAAACTTCAGTCAGTCATGTGGGAATCGAGCACCCCAACCACTATTCCACCCACTGGTCCCATGCCTTACTTTTCTGATATAACGATGATCACATTGTCCACAGCTGCCTCCTCTCGTGGTCACACAATGGCTCTGCAAATTCAGGCATCACATTCAGTTTCCC